CCAAAACCAATTGGTATTTCTCCGTCTCGTTCAGCAGCTTCTATAAATCGAGTTTCAGTTGTACCAAAAGTTTCTCCTCAAGAACCAATTAAAGTATCTCGAGGTCCATCAATTGTTAAACGTCCAGTTTCAGCTGCTCGTTCTGTAAACCGGTATATAAAATATTGATAAGAAACTTAAAGAATATTTTATTTTATTTTCTAGAATATCAAAAGAAAAAAAATCAGTTGAAGTTAACCGACGACCAAATGTATCTGTTGATAAAGAAAATGAAATAGATAGACGTCGTAAAGAACTTGTTAAACAAAAAGAATCACGAGAAAAACTAGTTCAAGAACAAGTATATGAAATATGCATATATTCAAATTTAAATAATTCATTCATTTTAGGCAGAAAATTTAGCTAAGAAACAACAGGAATATATTGAAAAACAACGAAAAGCAGCTATACAACGAGATCGAGAATTTTATCGATTAGAATTAACAAAGAGTTTACCGGTATACTCAACTAAATATTTTATTGCTTTCTATACATGGATTTCTTTTTAGGAGTCGTCAGATGCTAAAACTCAACGTGCAACACCACCGGTATTCTTACCAGTAAGTCAAAATTAGAGAAGATCTTATACTCTCGGATATTATTCTACTACAGTACTCATTCGAAATATAAAACCAATATATTTCTGATTCTTTTGGATGACACCAAGCATTTAACTTCAATCCAAATAGTGGTTTCACTAACCAATGAAGTTCTTTCTCCAATACATTTCATACCAAAATTCCGTAGATTGACAAAGTGAAAATTATTTCTGAAGAATACTTCCTTTAAGAGCACAAAATTCGGAATAAGATGACGGATTACCGCATGTCAAACGACCTTTCCCTAAAAAGTTATCAGCATTACAAAAACTACGGTTTTTAGCAATGCAATTGTCTGCTACTTATAACCTTTTAAGAGAAGGTTGTGGGGCATCTGGCAACTCCTTATTTAATTCAGAATTTTGTGCTCATTAAAATTCTACTCTTCAGAACTAATTTTCACATAGTCTTTTCAGATCTGAAAACTCCCGTGTTTGCTTTTTCAGAAACATTCTTCTCATAGTACATTCATAAAATTTCATCATGGAATGGATTTGATAGAGAACGTCATTGACTATTCAATCCACTATTTAGACTTGAGCTAGATACTTTGTATCGTAGAAAAAATACACTGATTTTTGTATTTTTTATTAGTACTGTATAGCTAAGATCTGCAAAAAAGTTTTGCACCGCCTTACAATTTTCGCCATTCCATGGTTTAGAACTTCTTGAATGAATACTGAAGAGAAAAAATTAACTCTGATGAAGCATATTCACAAAGCAAAACGTGAAAGAAGCGTGTGACGTATCCATGTGTGAGAAATGGTGTGGAGTAGTGCGAGATAGTCTCACGGATTTCTATTGTATATATTTTAAACTACAAAAAGATTTTTATATGATTGAAACGAATCTAAAAGATTTGAGCTTATATATAAGATTTTTCTCTCTTATTAATTTATCAAAATATATTTCTTTTCTAGCATAAAATGAATCAAGTATCTAATCCATCATCAGTCAGAGAACCAGTATGTTTTTACGTATTTTCTCATAGACACTATTCGATTTTCTTTCTTCCAAAAAAAAAATTAAGGTTATTGGTTCATCAAATGTTAACATAACAAAAGCAGGTAATGATATCCAATATCATGAACAATTAGATAAACTTAAACAAAAAATAGCCGAAAATGAAAAGAAAATGGACGAATGCAATAGAGGTATCTATTAAAAATAAATTTCAAATCTAATTAAAATTTCATCTAATTCTAGTTAATCAAGCACAAAAACCAATTATTGGTAATCATAATTTTCGTCCAAAACCAATGTAAATGTTTAGATACATTTAACATGTTTATATAATTTAAGAAAGAAAATTATTTTCAGTGCAAAGATACATCGACCAATACGAATAGAAAATAAACGACAAGTTCAATTAAATAAACCTCATGTAAAAAATCATGGTGTTGTTAGTGAATTGAATCGAAATCTTAAAGAAATTCGTCACAAAAATCTTTTAAATAAACGAGAATTTATACGAAAAAAATTGATTAATAAAGTATGATTAATTAATTCTTCGCTATCTTTTGTTCTTCATGCCATTTTATAGCCTAATGATTATTTGCAAGTTAACAAACGTCACCGTTTAAAAAATAACGAGAAAGTAAATATCAATTTTGTTGTTTATAAAAAAATTGTTTTTTCTTCAAATAGAAACAAGTTCAAGATATTTTTAAAAAAATTGAACCTGTTGATAATAATCTTACTGATTTATTAAACGATATTGGTGTTCATCCAATAAGGTTTTATTATTATTATTATTTTTCTTTTTCTGTAGAATATTTCGCAAAAAAAAATTTCATTCTAGTTCTGAACAACAAAGAAAAAATGTTAATGAAATAAATATTCGAGAAGCTTGGCAAGCATATGATGAACTACCTAAACCACGTTCATTATGGAATCAACAACCACATGTTGATTCCACAGTCCTCAATCGTTTTACACCTATGAATGATTCATCTGGTAAGAAATAAAAATATTATTCCAAACAGAATTCATTCAAAATTTTCATTTCTCATAGTTTCAAATGTACCTAATTTAATGATTAAAGGACAAGCAATGAATATTATTCGTGAGAGTAGATTTAATCGACAAAAATGGTCAAATGTAACACCAGGAACAATTATTAGTGTACTTGAACGTGCTCCAGCTCAAGATGATACAATTTCAAGTACAACGGATTCAACAGATAATAATCAAACATCAGATATTAGTTTAATAAATTTAGCAAAACGAGTTGATCCAAATAAAAAAAATGAAACCTATGTTATACCTAACATAATTGAATCTTTAAATTCACCATGTGATATATCAAATAAACCTATTATAAATGATCTTACTGTTGAAGATTATGATTCAACATTAACTAATGAAGCAAAACAAAATGATTCGAAAGAGTAAAGAAAAATAAGAAAATATATCCATCTCATGTTTTTTCTTCTCCTGTTAAAAAATAGAATTTCAATAATATCGGACGATTTTGATCTACTTGAAGGTTTAACTACCGGTCATTTTGATGCAAGAAATAGACTTGTAAGAATTTTTATTCTTTTATTTTACTCTCCATAAATATTAATTAGAAATGTTCAATACAGATTGAAATGATGGAAAAAGAAGAATAAAGAAGATTCTGGTTTGTTAGAATTAGTCGAAGTAATGAATGACCGAAAAATAATTTGAAAACGTTGGGTTAGAATCAGAATTTTGTGTTCATTTCGAATAAAGGTGCAAATCTTTTTTGTAGAACATCTAATTTAGGAGCGATAAGCCAACATTCTAGAGGCCGGTAAATTAAGTTTGACCATAGAAACTTCAAGTTTTTTTTACATATGATTCAAGAATGGCTGATTTCATTTTGCAAGCTTGTTTTTCATAGAAATCGAGAAGATTGCATAAATTGACACGATATCCGTAACTTAAATATTCAGTGTTAACAAATGACTTCGAATTAACTAATTATTAGTATCCTATTTTATTGGAAAATGTTTATTCTCTCATTCGCTTTTGATTTGAATAGTTTTAGGCGGATTGAAGCTCGTCGAAGCTTAATTTATAGGTCTAAAAAAAGGTCGATTCATAACTCTTAAACCACAGTCCCTACAAAAATTTTGAATCCATATTTGAAAGCAACAGAAAATTCTTATTCTTATTCAATGTTTTCTAAATTTCCTCTCGATTACCCGTCAAGAAGTTCTCTATCGATCAAAAGTACTTTGCAAGGATACAAAATGTAGCTCTTCATTGTAGAAGAACATTTGGTTTCTATTATTTATAATCATAATTCCTTGATTTAGAAGAAGTTCATTTACAATAATCCTCTATAATTAAAAAAGAAACCAATGGCTTCATAGTGACTTCAACTATTTATTAAAGTGATTCATTGAAACAATTAAATTACAATTAAGGCTTTCTTTTTGTTGCACGAGTTCTAAGATTAAACTATACCATTTCGATAGTGTATAGATCTATCGATAAAACTAAAAAACCCTACATTTTCATATTATTATTCTCTTCTTTTTTGAATTTCTAGCTTCTACGAACTATTTCTAACCCTGAACTATACAAAATTGATGAAGTTTCAGAAGAAACAACAATACAATCACTTAAATTTACTCGAAGTTTATCTGAATTGAAACTAATAAATATTATCATTCAATCATCACAAGAAGATATTTTTACATGTACAAAATTTCAAAATACTTGCAAAAATCATTCAGCATCAAGTAATCAAAGTTTTGAACATGATGATCATGAAGATAAACAAGCATCATCATTAACATTACAAAATTGTTTAAATGATGATGAAACTAAGTTAAAACATACAACTAGTGAACCACTTATAAAATCAAATGATGATAATGATAATAATAATGATAATGATGACGATGATGATGTTTGGTGTAATCCAGAAGATGAAAATAATCTTGAAAATCGTGTTAAATTTGATCAAGAAAGAATCGAACAAATACGAAAAATGCTTGGTGATAAAACTTTACAGATGATTCTTGAAGCACTTGAAGTAAAAATAAATTTTCAACATCAATTTTCAATTAATTTGTTTTTGTTTTTCCTTAGAAAAATGAAACAGATATTGAATCGTTAAAAAACCTTATACCGGAAGATAAACATGACTTATTTGATTCTGATTTTTTATTAATATTAACAATGATAAATACACGATCAATAAGAAACTAAATTAATCTGCATTATCTGTGTTGTTTGTGATAATAATAATAATATTAATCCGTACAATTTTATGTTTGTGTCGTTGTATTTTGTATGTTCTTATTTTATTGCACTCATTTTATGAGAATATTGTATAAATTGTTTTGTTTTTCTTTCTAATATTATACATTTTTAGATAAAGCTATGGGGAAATCTGTAGTTGTATTGTCGTGTTTGGTATTAATTTTGGCATATATTGGAAAACTTTTCACAGATTTTGGATTATTTCGACGTATTGAAACGGTAGGACTTGATAAATGTCGATTAGTTGTGCCACCAGGTGGAGGTAATTTATTACGATAGATTGAACATTTTTATAAAATTTTACTATAGATGATCAAGCTTTTGAAGATTTTGCAATTGATTATGAAAAGGGTATTGCTTATATGGCTTGTGATGATCGTTCATGGTTTCATACGTTTAATTTATCAAATCAAAATATTAAAAAACAAGGAAAAATTTTTACATTGGATATTCAATCAGAAACATTTAAACAATTAAATTTAATTAATTATCCATATGAACATTTTCATCCATTAGGAATTAGTTTATTAAAAAGAAAACATAATCAAGTAAGATATATTGGATAGGAGTACATACTCAAACTTAATAATATTTAGTTATTCATGACAAACTATCGAATAGATAATGGAGAAATCATAGGAACTGTAGATATATTTGAAATTGACTCATCAAATGAAAATCAAATAAAATGGATTGATTCAGTTGTTCATCCTCTGTTTACAGGTAGTTGCTTATGATTGAAATTGGAGAAAAAATCAGCATCTATATGCATTAACGCTAATATTCATCATCAGTACCTTAAGAATAAATTCAACGCAAATTTATACTATGAATTTATACTAAACAAATAATTAATAACTGAACATCTTATATTATTATTTTTTTTTTGAAAACATAGTACCTGATGATGTTTTGGCAATTGATGAGAAGACATTTTATGTAACAAACGTCTATTATTATAGAAAAGATAAGTCAAATTTGATGCATACATTTGAAGTTTTTTTTAAACGTCCTTGGACTAATCTATTATTATGTTCAAAAACAAATGAATGGCAATGCTCTATCGTAAATAGAAAGAATATTACTATTTTCGGAATTTTAATAAATGTTTTTGATATATTTCTAGGTTGTGGATTCTATTTCTATGGCAAATGGTGTTGCTAGTTCAATAGATTTTAAGACTATTTATGTCGCTTCAACGACGGAAAAACGAGTCAGTCAAATTTTGTCTTTCGATGTTTATAAAAAACATTTATTTTATTATTTTTTTTGTTAGATTCGTGTATATGAACGTCATACAGAAAATAATTCATTATCTTATGTACAAAGTCTTTTTGTACCATTTTTAGTGGATAATATTATTGTTAATGAACATGATGAAGTTATTGTTGCTGGTCATCCAAATGTAATATCATTTATGTTGTATGCAGCAGATCCTCGACATCATCGTGCTCCTTCTGAAGTTGCACTCTTTCCTTATCCAAAATCAAGTAAATCTTATTTCTTTCTGTGCATCAAATAATCGATTTTCTATAATCATAGATTCAATATTTAAAACTCTATTACTTACAAATGGTGAATTACTATCAGCATCAACTGTCGGTGGCACATATAAACAAAAACTTCTTGTTGGTGGTTTCTGCGATCCTGGAATTTTAATATGTCAAGATTTGGTTTGAAGACATAAACTAATATTGCATTTAATTTAACTATTAATAACGCAACATCCTCGAATCGAATTACGAGAGATGATGAAATAATTAGATAGGATACAACTATAGCTTTTAGATTATTTTTATTTTTTAGCTAGAGCCCTAATATGTAAGCTGGCTTTTGATAATCATTAAGTGTGTCTAATAAATTGTTTAATCATAGCATATCGTCTATTCGTTTTCATGAGCGTTGCGTGTAATATGATCTATAATTGAATAAATATTAATCATAATTCGTTGCATACAATTATACCTTTTTCATAGAAATTTTAATATATATATGTATATACCATTGGCCAAAGTACACTAAAATAAACCTGTTGGAGTGAAAGTTTTTCATTTTTATAAATGAATACGAGTCTACAACTGTCGTCTCGGCAAACCTTGCTTCTGTCACTTTTTCTTTCTTATGACTCTTAGAATCACCAGCAGTGAAGCCGAGGAGAGGGAAGGGGTTGAGCCTCCCTCACTCGCCCAAAACTCTGGCTTCGCCACTGAAAATTACAAGCAATCAAAATATAATCAGAAAAGTACTGAAGTTATATGTGGACCTTCTCATCTTTGTCTCCGTCTTCATACTCCCTTTACGCTTATCAACAGTCTCCCAATATCAGGAATACCAATGTCGCGAGAGCATCTGTCTGGAATGTAACAGTCATGTTACCAATGAAAACTACTATTAGTGTAAATAAGTTCATATTTGATCTAATGAAACGGACACATCGTAGATTTTTTTCTTGTGGAAAATGGAACAATGCGAAAATTATCGATATGAATAAACTTTTACAATGAAAACTCAATAACCTATATCAATATATAATAATGAATTTTCTTAATTAAATATTGATTTGATAAAAGGAAGTGAATATTCATTCATTGGAATGTTGATATATTATGCACTAGAATAATAGTAAATTTTCAGTTTAAAACTTTCCATACAACTTACTGTTAATTCTTTTGGATTAATCAAATCATCGTATATTTTTTTTTACAAAAAAACATCGGTTTTTTTACTGAATAAAGGCAATATTTGGTTTGTAGATATATTCATCGTGTTTTTCTATCGTCGTCTTTTCAAAGAGCATCTTTTTCTATGTTGTTGCATGACTTAAATACAGATAGCAGATACATATGAATAAAAAAATATAGTCCTTCACATAATATTAAAAAATCATTTGTTTTTCTCTAATTTACTACTAAAGACTATTCTCAAGATACGACATGATTAATATAAAGTGGTTAATTTATTTTATTGTTCAATTAACTAAATAACCTATGTTAGTGTATATATGATTTATTTTTAGGCAGCATTTGAAGAGAATATATTTATTCTTTTCTTTTTTTGTGTTTGCTAAACTGATACTAATGATAACAACGCTATCATAAAGTATCTTTACATTGAATGTAAAAGATAAGGATATGTGTTACTAATATGTTTACCTTGAGATTTTATTCTAAGTAAATCAATTTGACGTTATGCCTCCTCAAACAAAATATGCTGTGCCTCCTATTGAAACAACAGGCTTTAGCGTTTTCGTACGTACTGCATATGCAGCAAGATATAATTTTGCCGTTGCAAATTATAATGCTGTATCCACTACTCAAAAATTAAGTATGTTTGGTAACCGTTTACTTTTATTTCGAGCTATTGTCGCTGTTGTTTGGATAATATCCATAACTTTTGCAATTCTTACTATAATTAAACCTGGATTAGTTGCTGTTACTATTGTTTTGAGTTTGATATATATTGCAATATCAATTTATAATATACATGTATTTGTCAATAATAGTAATCTTCTACATGCAACACGTCTTTTACGAGCTAAAGTTGGCGGACCAAGTGGTCATGATTATGAATGGGTATCTGTACCACTTGATTCACGTAGTGCAAATGAAAGATTATCATCTGTTGAGCAATCAGCACTTGATAATGTTCGAAGAGAATTCGGAGGAAATAATAAAAGTGAAATTGATTGTATGGTGTATACAAAACGTTATGCTGATATATATCCTGTATTTCCTAAAGAACTTCTTTTACATTTCATTGCATTTTTAATAGCAATTATAATTGGTATTACACTAACTGTAGTTAAAGCAAAGTTTTTGTGATTTATTTTTATTATTATTTAAATAAAAGTATATAAACTACAATAAAATTATAAGGTCTTGGTTAGATGAGAAAAGAAAGTTGAAGATTATTCATAACACCAGAAAAAATATATAAGACAGATATTAGCATTGCAAACAAAAATGCAGCTTATGTTAAGATGAAAACGGATATCGACAAACTGAGCAAAAATTGCGTCCATTTTCATTAAAGTCATTTACTGTTTTACAACCAACACATACAAAAGTACGAGGCCGAGAATTCACACTAAATGATCGATTTTGCCTACTAGATGAATAGTAATCGTTTACATGTGGCATAGATGTAGCAGATGATTGATTTGAATTGTATTGTTGATGAGACGTTGGCGTTGGAATATTTGATTCTGAGAAAGAAAAAACAAATGATTACTATTATGTTATTAAGTAGAAACTTTTACTTTGATTATAAGAACTATACAATGTGGAACTTATTGGAACATTTGGTACTTTTGTATATGTTTGATTTGAATTATTATGTATAACATGTAGTAATGAATCCCAATTAATACTTTTTGTATTAGACGTATCAATTTGAATTTGTTCATTAAATCGTTGAACTATGCCATTAAGATTTGTTAATTGTTGTTTTATTCGATTAAGATCACCTTCAACATATCCACCATTTTTTTGTCTTTGTTGTAAATCTTGCGAAACTCGATCAAGTTCAATGCGAACATTTTTACTTGCTTCTGACAAGATTTGTCGAACATGATCTTGTGCTGTTGTTGCAATACGATCAATAGTTGTATGCATTTCATTTTGCCATCGATTAATATCTTCAAAACAAGGACTTATAATCTTTGTAGTATTTGACGAAGAATTATTAATAATTTCAAAAAGTTCATTTCGACGATTAAAAAGATCATCAAGTTCAGCCGACAGTTGATCACGATGTTGAGATAGACATGTTGGACAAAATTTTTGTTGGCAACCTTCACATGATGCAGTACTTGGTTGACTTCTACATATAGCACAAATTGATGAGGTACCAAATGACATCATCTAGAAATATAAAAATGAATCATTAGCAATATAAAATTTATTCCATTAAAAATAAGATGACAAAAAAAAATAACTTTATTTGGTAAACAATTAAATGGAATTCAGTTATATACTTGCATTTCTTGTTCTTTTGATGACTATTCCATTGCATGTGACTATGATGAATCATATTGTTTACTTTAGGCGTCCGATGCTTGAGGAAGTATTGGATCATGGTTGCCTGATGTAAAAATTATAGAATTCATTATTTTATTGTCTGACAATGATTTTCGTCGAAAATTATCGGACATAGGTTTTATTGCATTGGTACATGGATTTCGTTTGGAAACTGAACAAGTAGATGCCTCACAGGCAGTAAGTACGATTGGTTCAAAAAGTAAAGATGTGTTACGTTTAAAATTAGATTGTTGAGTTCTGAAATCATTATTTGTATGCTTATTTTTGATGAATTTTCTTAGATTCTGCCAAATTTTTTCGTGAGTGGTTTTTTCTTCCGGATAAAATTCTGAAAAATTGAAACGATTTACTATTAATTTTTTTTCTGTTAATTTTTTGTCCGCAGTAACATTTATCAAAGAGTTCCAATCTACTTTATTTGTTCCTGTATAATTTATTCGAATTTTTTCATTAATATTTTTAATAGAATTATTTAATTGTTCTAATTGATTTCGTATTTCAATAATATCATTATCTAAATAATTTCCTTCTTGTTGACGTTGTTGCATATCAAAAGTGAGTTGATCAATCCGTTGACGAATATCAGACATATTCTTTATCATCATATCATTAACAGTTGTTCGAGCGTTCTCGGCAATTTGTCGAATACGATTGATAATTTCTTGTTCCCATTGATCGATTTCAAACAAACAAGAAAATTCTTTTTTGTTTTGCCAATTGGACTCAACAATATTAAATGATTCTTTTAATTCATTTTGAATTCCAAATAATAATTCGAATTGTATAATAAGTTCTTTATGATGTGTATTCATACATGGAAGACAATATAACTGTTCACATCCTTCACAACGTATATTACTGTTTCGTTCGGTACACCATGATGGCATTCATATAAGATGAGATGTGTCAAGAACCGTTTTATCTTAACACGTAATACAAGAAATAACACGACGTCCTACAACAATGACTATGAAATGCATTTCATTTTTTCTATGAGTAAACACGATAAATTATCTAAAATAAAAACAACAAAAGAAATAATATTGTGAAATAAATTTTTTGGATTTAACTGATGTTTTCGTGTGAAAAAAGAAAAAGAACAATGATTCGATTTCGTTACAGTAACTTGCACAATATGCGTATATACTAATGAGTGTTTATAAATATTTCTGACATTGTTATTTTGCTAATATCTTACGAGAAAAACAATAATATAAGAATTTCTATCAATGAAACAATTCAATACTTTGTTTGCAGTTAATTCTCTATATGAATCTATGGCCCATTTCCAAAACATCTAACTCAATTATGAAAACTTTATTTATTAATCCGTAAAGTAGATTTATTAAAGATAATGGATTAATTACGGTAAAAGAAAAAAAGCAGGTGTAGATTAAATTCTTTCAAGATGTGTTCATAACTTCTTAGAAAAAAAGATTAAAGCAAGGGTTCCTCAAATGAAAACAACTCTCTTTATTTTTTCCTAAGGTCACATGAAGACGTAATGAAGATTTGACAGGCTCAGTAAAAACATAAAGAGGAGTTCACAAGAAATTAAACTTATCCCGTTTTATTTTTATATTTGTCAAGCTACTATGATTTTCATATTCTTTGTCCATTAATTTCATTGATACCTTTAGTTTGTTTAGTTCTTTTAGTCTCTTCAGAGTGTAGAGTGAGCATACGAGTACATATAAGTGAAATTAAAGAGAAGATACATACTCACCAGCATCCTAATGTGGCTAAATGAACTAAAAAGACTAAAATATTTTTACAGTTTTAAAAATGATGTAAGCATGCAAAAAAATAAACGCGATGAATTTGTTTGCTTGTCTGCCTACGCAATGATTGGTAAATTACATGAAGGAAGAAACAGAAAAATTCTGTGTTAGCTGTGAAGAGTTCTTTTTTTCTCGCCTTCCATATATTATCTGATAGACTAATTCAGCAAAGAAATTATATTTGTGCTCATTTAATATAGTGAAATAAACACAAAAACTAAAACGAAAATAGATGTCACTACAAAAAAAGTTTTTTTTAGAGATAGTTGTTCATAAAGTTCTAGAATGGTATTTCAAACGACAAAAATGTGATAGTCAAGGTATTTATCTTCAATTTATCTTGTGCTTTGAAAGGACAGAAACTAGTGTTACAGAAGAACTGACTCATCAGCTGTGACCAATGAAATATCAGGAAGAAGCTCTAAACTAAACTTAGGTTATGAGACATTTTCACGTTGTATTGATATTTTAAGCGAATTTCGCATGCCGACATTTTCTGAAAAAATTCCGATTTCTTTTAATTCGGTGTCAAGCAGAAGCGATTGATTTTATTCGAAAAAATGATCTCTAAAATCACCGATTTTAGACGATTTTCATCATGTGGGAAATACGATAAGCGAAACTGAAAGAATGGCACTATACATCGAACTACTGGAAGAAATGTAAAAAATAGTAAAAGACCTTCGGAGATACTACTAACATTCTTTTAATTTTGGAGTCGAACTTCTACCCTATTTTCATATATAGAATAAGGACAACAAACAATTTTCGGGCTCCTCGTTCGAGATAATAATGTCGCAGTTGTGTTCTGTCCAAGGTCGGGTGATACAATATACTGTGGAATGATCATAAAAAAAACCATAGCATATAACGGACATATTAGAACTGCTCAATAATATGAGAATATTTAAGCTCCAGGAAATATAGCTCAACTTTAGGTGTTCTATTATATTTATGACATTTATATCGGTGAAAAAAAACAATTTCTGATGAATTTATACTGGTTAAAGTTTATTGCCTTGAAGTAACTACTGATGAAAACTTATAATATTCATTTAGTTTGAAAAATTTACTTAAAAATACCGATTTCTTATTCTCTTTCATAGCTTTATCATTATTCTGTCTTAGTTTCGATGTCGTTCTGCTTGACAAGACGTCCGCAACAATATTAATCAATATAGATAGTTTTCTTGGCATAATCAACAGTGTTTCTCTATTTTGTTCTAAATAACATTTAATTCTATTAATATGATAATCCATATAGTTTCGTTAATATTTATCTTATTGAATATCAAAAGAGAAATGTTCGATTCAACAAAAAATGGTATTCATAGTCTTCTCATTTACTTGATTGATATGTATTCAAACTTTTGAAGGAATTTATCGAATACGTTAAATTGTCTCATTTTCTTTATTAATTTATTTTGACCAAAAATTAGAGTTCTTGCTCATTTTTTTTTCAACTTAATAAAATCTTATCCAATGATTCTCTGCATTCATTTTTAAATCTCTAGTCAGAACTAAATCTTTTGTATGGTTTTTTTTCTCACAGAAGTTAATCGAAATAAATTATCAAATCCTTTACAATGTGTACTTTAATCCTAATTTATACATGACATAACTAAGATTAAAATAAAATACTTAACAATTATTTTAATATATATTCGTTATTCAAAATTGTTTTCTTTATATACCATGGATCAAAACAAAACATAGGGAAATAAGTACAGTACCATAATCAACAGAAGCACTACAAACAAAAGACAAAATTAAAAAAATAAGGAAAAAAGACAATAGTATATTTTTATTTTATTCGTCGTTGTACTCGTTATAAACATAAAACACTTTTACCAAAAAAAAAAAAACGAATATACAGAATAAAAAGAAAAATCAATATACAGTATAGAAAGAAAACGAATTACTTCATAGATTAATTCAATCTACATGTAACATTATCACATAAAAACACATTCAAGATAACCACAGTATGACTGTTCTTATGTTGTTGTTTCTTCAGACTAACTAGATCATTATTATCAGCGTGGAACATTTAAAATAGTTTTGCATATTGAACAAGAATGATTTGTTCCATGTTTAATACCATTAAGTATATTTAGAGAGCGACATTGTTGACAAAAAATTTTATGTGGACCTTTTATTTTAGGCGATGATTGTAGTGGACTAATAAAATCAGAGTTTTTATATGATGTTGAATAAATATTCATTGGTGAAGATCGTAAAGTTGTAACATGACGTGGAAGAGGATGTTTTCTATTATAATCACATTCAGAACATAAACCAGTTGATAATAAATCGTTGAAATAATGTTTACAAACAATACATGGACGAATTTTATCTGTTTTCTGTTCGAAATCGATCAAGTTCATTGATGATGAGTCGGATTTTATAACATTAACAGGAATTTGAATAAAACGTTGATATTGTTGTTCTAAAACATTATATAAATAAATCATATAAATCAAGAATTTGATATAATATTAGCTGTTTGTTTAGTAATGTGACAAATCATAAAAGCTTTTTCATTGCGTCTCTATTATTTATTGCGATTTTAGAAGCAAACCAAAGTTAAAGAGAGATAGAAGAATGAATTTAATAGGTATCAAACGCAAAATTGCAAAACCAAACGCACAATCAATATCTCACTTTTATCTCCTGAATATTTATAAAATACAACACATCGAACTTCGACTATTCGAGTCTATAAAAAGATGAATTCAATATTATTCTACTCATTATAAATTATTACTAAAGTATAATCACAATTCTATCTAAATAATCCTTATTAGAAAAATTTGCGTGTGTGCGTGTGTGAGAAAGCGTGATTTTAATAAAGCATAAAGACAAGCAGCAATAGCAGATATTTGATATATGATATAAAATAAAATATTTCAAGAAAAATCTAGCAAGAAAGTATTGAAATAAATAATAATCATACAGTAGGAAAAAATAAATGCTATCACGCACTCTTACATCAATCATCAACACCTCTGGATCGTAAACACGCCAGAGCCACTAGAAGACAGAAAATTTTTGTCTAGTCAAATTTGATGCAATGGCTTGGAAAGAATTATTAAAGTAAAAAAAAAAAAGAACAAAAGGAAATCTAGTAAAAATATATAATTAATAGATTTTGTTGAGCCAAGTAACACACACGCACACAATAAGAACAACAGTCAACAATCATGAAACTTTTTTCTTTGTCGAATATTTAGAAAAAATGAGTTAAAACTTACCTTGTTTCAATTTTGAATCACTTCCTCGTGGATTATTGTTACTATTGCTTATGTTTTTACCATTAGGTATTGAAACATCATCATTAGATTCCCATTCACTTTTATATAGTAATTGTTTCCCATTATTGTAATGATTATCATGAGTTACTTGACTACGTTGTGGTATTTGTATGTGATTTTGTAGTTTTTGTAATTGTTGCTGATGTTGTTGTTGTTGTTGTTGTTGTTGTTCTGAATATTGATTAATCGAACGATTTCCATCATTCGATAGTACATTTGTTGCTCCATTAGTTACAGCTAGATCATATGATGGTCGTCGCTCATAACTAGGAATATTTTTATTATCATTTAATCTAGTTGATATTGATGAATATGGTGGTGGTGGTGTAGATGAATTATCTCTTTTCATTAATGATCGTTGATTAGTCTCATATGATGATTGATTAGGAATATAATATTCTTGTTCAAGTCTTTGTTTATCTTCTTCTTCTTGTATTTTTTTCTTTTGCATATCAAAACAATCCATAACATAATGATAATAAAGAAGAAAAAAATCTTCTTTCTCTGGCAATATTCTATTACCTAATTCAGCACATAGAATAGGTAATGGTGTACCATTTGTATCCGGATAACAAGATAATTTTTTAATACGTAAATAACTGTGAAGTAATTTAGTATTTTGCTCGATATTATTATCATTACCTAAAAATCGTATCGGTAATAAAGTTTGATTTCGAGTATGTTCAATTGATTGATAAAGTGGAAGAAAATTATCTGATTTTAATCCTGTAATTCTATCATCAGTTTGTAATGGACAAAAATGTGATTGATCATATGCTAATACGATTGGTACAGGAACACAATCTTTTGGTTTTGAAAGTATAGGTAAATAAATACCAAATAAATCATTATATGATATAGCTTCACCATGTTTATTTCGTACAACATCTTCCGATAAAATAATAATTGGTCGTGCAAGCATATTTGATATAGAAAAAATATGTACACCTTCAAGAAATTGTAAATTCGATGCTGTTTGTCCATCATCTGAACTTTCATATCGAACAAGATCACATAATTCTTCCCATTCCTTATAAAAATAATCATAATAATCAACAAAGCTTGTTTAGCTATTTTTAATTTTTTTGTTAACTTAAACTTACACTATCAAGTTTAGAATCTTCAGATTGTATGCCATACATTTTATCAGTTTTTAGTCGTTCAGTTTTCCAACTTCCTTTAAGTACGGCTTTATTTTTATCCATAAATTGAAGAAGTCGATCACGTAAATATAAATTAAAATCATGTACACCAACCATAGCAATAAGTACAGCATGAAGAAGACAATTACCATTGCCTGATGTTCGAATTGGATAGAGTTTTTTTAATGATGGTACCCAATTAATAACTCGAGTTTCATTCATCACTTTTAACATTGTACGATCAATTAGATATCGTTGACAATCTGTCATAGAATCTTGTTCAAAGTATTTATGCGGTAAAACACTCGTCAATTGTGTGAGTTCTGACAGATGTTCAATAAGAATTTGATTGATAAAACTTAATATTTGATCAGCTCGTTGCTTATATTTTTCAGGAATAGGTAAAAATTCTTTATTTGATGGTGATGAAGCTGATTTAGCTTTTGGACCACAACAATAATTTTGAAATGAATTAAAATAATGAGGATGTACTGTATCAAGTGGTTTTGATGTACGAGTTACGGTTCCTGATACACTCGTTGTTTCCGCCATCATAAAATAAATAATTGGATAAAAAAAAATTTACATTACATTAAAAATTATAGATCATGTGTTAGACATAAACAGTATATATAGAAGCCAATATATCTAAAAATGTAAAACATTACTCATTTAAATATTGTCAGAAAAAGATAGAAATAAATAAAAAAGATAGTATAAACGATAATCGGCTGTAGGTGTATGTCTAATGTTGAGAAATGAGTAGAATATGACTTTGATGCTTTTTTGTTTTTTACTTTTATGTTCTCTATGGAAAACATGATTCATAAAATGATGTGATAGAAAAGAATTGTACAAATAAATGATTCAAAGATATTTACGATCATTAAAATGACGCTTGTTTTTTTCTTTTCATCTATTCGTAACTATATTACATTTCACATAGACATAGCAAGCAAAGCAAAGATTAAAAAAAGAATAAATCCATTATGTGTATTTCTACGCATAAAACAAAAATAACACCATTAAACAAAAACAAAAAAAGAAAAATCAATGAATATATTTCTATACAAAAAAAATATTTTCATCATTCATCAAATGTGAAAATGTCAAAAGCAATTTAATCATAAATAGAAAAATTAATGTGAACTTTTTTCTTCTTTCAGCATACGAAAAAAAACACTTGCTGATGTTCTTCCATTCTATATTTTTTCCTCTTCAACAAAACTAGGAAAAAAACAACAATAATAACAGTCATATCAGTACTTTTTTCTTTTTTTCTTTCTTTCTATCTTTTCTTCTCCATCCTGTTGACAGGCAAGAAGCATGTTTTACTCTACACCATTTTTTTTTTGTCCTATTAAAAATGTTATTATTGATCGTATTTATCAGTGCACTCATATATTCCACTGACAGTTTAAAAATAGCTCTACCTACTACTATTATCCAGTCTCAAACGCCTGCTGGCATCTCGATAGGACGAACTTCAACAAATGATGGTATGTGAGCTACTGTTTTTGATATGATAATGTCGTTTCTCTTTTTTTTTGTAAAACAATCAATTGCTATAGAAGGACAATTTATAATAGCTGACGGCAACTCAGATCATTTATTTCGATCGTATGATTTTATAAAAGAAGATATTGTTAAATTTAACGAAGGTGACACTGAGAATACAAAAAATGATGTAAAAATTAGGTAATAGGTTTCATTTTAAATTAATCCATGTTCGAAATATTACTTTAGATGTTCATGTAATACGATAAATCCATGTTTACCATCTATTCAAATAATCGAAGGTCATTTTGTTCATTATGATAATGATTCTGATGAACACTTATTTGATGAGGAAGATTTTCAAAAAACAGAAGTCTAATTCAATTTTATATACTCATTTAAACTTATGTCAGATAGAAATAACTTTCATATACGATTTTCGTTTGTTTTCATATACGTATCAAAAACAATACTTTCTTACTTATTTCTTATGTAACAAGTAAAAATTATTCAATCGAAACGAAGAACAAAAATATATTTGTAAAAACCTTCGTGAATTTCTCTCGTCTATTATTATAATATCTCTTTCAATAAAAATACTTTATCATTATTAAGAAAAACATGAAGATTTATGTAAAAAAAAATAATTATTAATAAAATTCTTAACAAGATTATTCAACAACAACAAAAAAACAAAAAAGTAAAACAAACAATCTTGAACATAAGCAAAGTCATAATAGGTCATACAAAAAAAAAAGATATTGACTCAATAAATAATCACAAAGAAAAGAAAAACAATTTATCGAATAATTCAAGATAAAACACCAAGAGTAATTTAAACATTATTTTATTCTCGAAAAATCAAATTAAAATTTGTCTTTATTTTTATATAAATAATTAATTATTTCTTTGTAAATAGCTGTTATTCATAGGAATATACTGTCTAGAATATTCGCATTAAAGTATACGTATTAAAAATAATAAAAAATCACATCTTGTTATTGTTACATGCATTTCTTCAAAAACAAATAATATAAAATATAATGTTTGAGGTCTATTTAAAAAAAAATCTTTTAAACGATAACTATCATTGTGATGTTTTCTATTGATACGAACAAAATTCAGAAAATCTTGTTCATTTTTCAAAAAACATTTTTTTAATTTAATAGAAATTAAAATAGTTAACCATAAAACATATCGGATCGTGCAGTCTTTAAAAAATGAAGAATAATAAATAGAGTGAAGTAAGACGGTTGAATAACTTTAATGATATATTTAATTGCTTTTTCTTTTGTAATTATATATATGGTCAAACAAATGTACATATCACAAGATTATCAATCTGAAAAAAAAACAAGAAATAAATTTGTATTTTGTTGAAATTGTTCTGTATCAGTAAAGTATTAAATGGTAATCTTCATCATATAAAATTCACGTTCATTTTTTTTCATAACTAAAAGCTTCACTTTCTTTGATGACTTATCGACTATTAATTTTCTTTGAAATATTAAAGTTTTTACTGAAAATATATTTCACATTATTAATATTGAAGAAACTACAGTCCTTAGGATATATTTTTCTTCATGATTTTAATTAATAGATAAGCAATTTTGATTTTTTTGAAATACTTCTGTTTGGTACATCAGTAAAATAGCGAAAAACAAATCTTAAGAAAAAAGAATTTCTATTAAAACAATGCAAATAGATTTGTTTTTAACATACATTCAATAACATTCGATTGATTTTGTAACTTAAATGGGAAATTTTCATCTTGAAATAATTGTTCTATACTGAAGCATTGAATTCATTATCTTGAATTGTTAACAATATGTTGTTTATGGCTGACATTATGTAATTTAAAACGACGTATTTCCAATAAATTCTCATGATAATTTTTCTACACTAAGTAAAATTAGTTTTGTATTTGTTTCAGTTACATTGAAGTAAAGTCAAATTATTTAATTAAAATTTTTTGCGATGTAGAATATAAAAAACTAACTAGTTTTCAGCATTGTCATCATTTGAATATGAAATTTTTATTTTTACAATTATAAAATGCAGTTCTAAATAAATTGAATTCTAATTGATTTTCTTGAAAATATTTTGTTCTACCTCAGAGTGTCGAAATTTAGATTTTTAATGATTTGTATTTCTTTTTTTTCAAGGACAAATCAATTAGAAAAACCGTTCATTATCTAGAGTGAAAATCCATTGCCGAGTGAAAACCTTTATACAGAATTTTATTGGCATAATCTATAGATATATATAGATATATATATATAAGAATGGTTTACTTTTATTAAATAAATAAGAGAAAAAAAAATCATTTATGATGAAAAAATAAATATGAAAAAAGCTCTAAAGATGTCATTAGTGTTCAAAAAAATGCATCATTCTCGATAAGGTACAGGCTTAATAGGTTGAATTTTCTTTTTATCTTCAGTTGAAACATTTGGTATTTTAGTTTGTAAAGATTTTGTTAATGAAGATGACATGGGTTTTAATGATGTTCTTATTGTTGGCATTGGACTGTTGTTATCGACATTTGAAGATAGACTTCTTGGTGTTAAAAATGGAAATGATTTCACTGCAGTATTAGACTAAAAAAAATAAAACAATATATATATATATACACTTGTTTAAAACAACAAAAAATCTGTTCTCCTTACTCTTGGTGTTAATTTTGGAAACATTGGCTGTTTATCTTGTTGCTTATTGCTGTTTTCTAATGCTAGATTAGGAATATGTGCTGTTTGTGAATGTGGTATTTGATAATTAACCACATTAAAACAATGTGTATCATTTGATATTGACCGATAAAGTTGTTTTTCTCGATCATTTGAAGTAAATAAAGGTACAATGATTGACCCATTTCGATTTGAATCATCATTTTCATATGTCATATCGATTTCTGCTAATGTTTTTATTTTCATTGATGTATTATTATGTTGATATGTTGACCTGTCTTGGAAATAACTACGTACAATATCTTTATTGTTACTCATATTTTTTTTTAAAGTAATATCAAACCTTCCTCAACTAAATGAAATGTAATGAAGAAAAAAAAAAAGAAAAAAAAGTGTCCTCAAGAAATATTCATTATTCAAAAAGCTCATTTTTTTATCAACAGTAGTAACTACAAGCTGGCAGTTCCCATAGGTTATCAATTATTTGTTTATAAAGATCTGTCATGTTTTTGACAAAGTATAGAAAAAAGAATGAAACATCATTTCCTTGTCATATTATATATTTTTGCTCATCATACACGTTTATAAATAAACGAATTGACAAACAGCTAACTGGAAGATTACACAAATACAAAAAAAGACTAGAAAACAAAACAGGTTTTCATTGATCAAAGAAATCATAGTATTTGTTGAAATATAGATATTGCTGTTCATTCTATTCAAGGACTAATTCAGACACAAAAGCACTATTACTGCCGGCAGATAATGAAGACGGATTATGAACGGACTAGAAAGAAAAAACAAAGAATATAAAAAAAAAGAATTTTTCTTTTACAAGAAACATTTTTAAAATATACTTCAGCGAGTTCTGATAAACGCCCGATTAATTCTTGAAATACTTCAGATGGTAGTGTTTGTTGAAAGAAGCCCATTAAATTTTGAGGTTGACTACAAGCAACAACAGCTTTTGCTAGATGATCAATGCCATTATCAAAATCACCTATTGAAATATTAGATAAATAAGAAACCAAAAAACAAAAGAAACAAATGAGACTTACCACGAGATAAACAATCTTCACCTTGTTGAATTTGTTCAAGAAAATATCGATGCATTGCTTCAGGATTACTCATATGAATCTATTAAAAATTATCGAATAATATTAAAAGTAAAAATTGAAATAAAAATTTCTTACATCATTACGTGAGCTTCCAGCACTTGTTTTATGTTTGTGTCGTTCTAAATGAATAAAATTGAAAATTTACAAAACAAAAAACTTTGTACAATGGAAATAATTTTTTTTCTTCATAAGATACTAACTAGCTTTTAATTTTTCAACAAAATCAGGTGCATTTCGCCGTTTTCGATCAAAATACACACAATAACCAACAAAACTAACACCAAGACCAACAGCTGCTACTAAAGGCCAAAACGCTTTACTATTGATGGTCATCTAAAATAATTTAACATTTAGTTTTCACCTGAAATTTCAAGGTATTACTCAATATATGTCTACGTCATCAAACATATGCAAAAGTAAGAGAACAATACAGTAATCATCATGTCCACGTTGACACTTCCACGTTGACTGATTTGTTTTTCAACTATATATATATTAGTTGTGAATTTAAATGAAGAAAACAAATATTTCTTTTCTTAAAAAATCATGGGTCTTATTATTAGTCGATTATATGATGCATTATTATCATTTTCTTATGAAACACCTTCTCGTATTCTGATGCTTGGTCTTGATGCAGCTGGAAAAACAACTATTTTATATAAAGTAAAACTTAATGAAACTGTTCAAACTATTCCAACGATTGGTAAATAATAATATTTTAACTTTAATAAATAATATCTCTGTTCATATCCTAGGATTTAATGTTGAAACAGTAACACCTGCACCTGGTATTACATTTACAGTATGGGATATAGGTGGACAAGATAAAATTCGTCCATTATATAGACATTATTTTGATAAAACCGATGGTCTTATTTTTGTTGTTGATTCATCAGATCCAGAACGATTTCAAGAAGCACGTGAAGAACTGTTTGGTATTATTACAAATGAAAATATGTGTTCAGTACCCGTTGTTATTATAGCTAATAAATCAGATTTACCAACAGCTGTTAAACCAAGTGAACTTATTGAACAACTTAATCTTCATTCGATTTCAAGACGAAAATGGTTTATTCAATCAGCTTGTGCTATTACTGGTGATGGTATTGTCGAAGCAATGCAACAATTAGCACAAATGATAAAAGATAATAGAAAAAAAATAACTTATAACTAAAGTTTTATTTAAATCTCTTGTTGTTTTTTTCTGTATATAAAAATATTTTATATAATAAACAAAAAATTTATGTTTCCATCAAACATATATTAACCCTTTGGTAATAAAGGCCGTAAATTTACGGTTTCAAAATTTAGTGAGAAAAAAATGTACTTAACTAAACTAAAACAGGGTTTTCTAAACAAACTGCACGTACTGCTAGACACATTTCTTCTCTTGTACCTCAAACAACAGATGGAAAAATCTTCAGCGAATTTATATTGTATATGCTCATACAAATAGAAGACACAAAAAACAATAGATTTACGTTATACGTGTAAAGATTGTAATGTGTGCCTTTGCGTGATTAGCTACTTTTAGAAATTTCAGATTTTATTGCATTTTCAGTTTTTTTTCTTTCTCATTTGTTTTCTTTCCGTAAGCTGCGCTGTAGTTATGTTAGAGTTTTTCTGGATTTGTTTTGTTTTTATTATTCGAAAATAAACCAGGTATATCTTAAAATCAAGGCTCAGTAGAATAATTCACAGTATGATGAATTTTGACAGAAATTTCATTTTCTTTTCTAAAAAAAACTCTGCCGTCAAAAGGTTAAACAACGTTGTCTTCTAACTCAAATATCATTTTAAAAAAATGTCAAGCGAATACTCAAAAAAATAAGAGTGCACGTCCCGCACAAACAAAGAGCAACACATACTTTTCATTCATGACAAAAAAAAAATATCGTATATCGGATGATTTATACTCATGATTTATTCAATTAATTTCAATAACATATGATGTTTTTACTGTACAATCTCTGATTTAAACTTTTATCTAAAGTGTATTTTTTTGTTTTTAAAAGACTCATAATGATTGCATCACAAGCAGTTGAAATACGTCATGATATTATCGCATTGCTGTCTCACGTTTCATTGTTTTATCATATACATGAAACAAATCGTTTTCTTTTTTTAAAAACAAAAAATGTTTTCTTCCTTTCTTCTTAATGTTATTTCAGTGTAGTCGTAATAATGGATGAGTCATAACTCTACGACACGTTGGCCAGGTGAGAGAATCTGCAGTTTTTTTTACAGCTAGCTGAATCATAAAAAAAATATATTTGGCTGTTCACATCAATGTTGACGTGTCTTATACGACGTGGCAACGAGTAAAAAAACTCGTTAAATAGCGACGGTTCATCAGTTAGTTTTTCGAAAACAACTTTCATCTACTTCGTATTTAAAATACTATACGACCATGGGTCTTTTCCTCAGTCGAATGTATGATGTTCTCGCTTCGTTTGGTACAGAAAAACCATCACGAATTCTAATGCTCGGTCTTGATGCAGCCGGTAAAACAACAATTCTATACAAAATTAAACTTGATGAAAACCTTCAAACTATTCCTACAATCGGTATGCATTTATACTTACATATATACATACAAAAAAACGCATTTTATTATTTTATTATAGGTTTTAATGTTGAACAAGTGAGTCCATGCCGTGGAGTTTCATTTACTGTATGGGATGTATGTATTTGACAAAATCAAATTTTACATTCAATTCTAATTTTAAATTTTCTTTTTTATTTTCTTAATCAGGTTGGTGGTCAAGAAAAAATTCGTCGTCTCTGGCAACATTATTATCAAGGTGCAGATGGTCTTATATTCGTTGTTGATAGTAATGATCAAGAACGAATAGATGAAGCACGAGAAGAACTTCAGGGTATTCTTTCATCGTATGATATGTCACGTGTACCTATAGTCATCATAGCTAATAAGCAAGATTTACCAAGTAAATTCGAATTATTATTATTATTATGATATTTTTCTAAAAATTTTTCTTACAAATAGATGCGATGAAACCTTCGGATATAATCCAAAAATTAGGTATCAATGAATTACGTGCTAAACATAAGTGGTATATTCAACCAGCTTGTGCAGTTACAGGTGAAGGTTTAATTGAAGCAATGCTTGAAATGGCAAATCTCGTTAAACAACATCGAAAAGAAAACGATTAGAAACGAAAAGAAAAAGAATTATTTTCTGTACATATAAACATCATTCGAGTTTTTTTTCTAGCTTTTGAATAAAACGAAGACAATATTTTTTTCTATGAATACATATATTGTTTGTTTTTAATCAAAAGCTGACCCAAAAGAAAAAAGAATCGACAATACAATTATACAAAAAAAGAAGAAAAATGTAAAAGAAAACAGCTAATCATTTATCTCCCCTAATTGAACAAAATAAATAAATAAATGAGTATTGTATTTTTCTCTCAGATAAAATTAATTGATCATGTCACTGTAGATTATAAGAATATAAAATTAAATTAGTACGATGTTGTTGATTCATCATTATTATTTGCATTAAATCGTATTGGAAACATTAATGCTTTAGCACTCATAAAACTTAAATTGGGTAAACTATCAATTATACGTTTAGCATCCTCGTTTAATATTGTTGTTGAACCAGGAAATAGATCCATTGTTTTAATTGGTATTGAATGTGATTGTTGTTGTCGTTGAATAATAGGACTATCTGTTCTTTGAATAGATGCTGGAGATGTTGTTTGTTCGTCTTCACTCAAAGATTTTACTGTTGGAACATAAAAATCCAGATCAAGTGTTTTATTGGCATCGAAAACTTTAAAAAGAAAAGAAGAACAAGTTGATGATAATATTTGTTTGTTTTTCAATAGGATTATTTTTTTTTAATAACATTTGTATTAGTAGCCACATGCAAGAGCATTCATTTATTATTATGAAAAGAAATTATTTATTTGATTTGAATTAATTACGTGCGCTTAACTTACCATTATTCTCATCTTTACTGATATTCGTCGAATTACATGGACTATCATTATCTAATATATATGGATAATCGATTTTTTTTCTTATAGATGTGTTATTCTTTTTTATGTTTTTGAATAAAAAAGAATGAATTAAAAATTATTTACCTGCAAGTGGATTTTCTAAACCACTTTGTTTCCAATCAAAATGTGGGCGAATAGCTTCAGTTGATAACTAAATTTATCAAAAAAAATCGGTTAGAACAATCTCTATGGAATTAAAATGTGAAACACGATGTAGCTACAGTTACCAATCATCGGGAGATTGTTTTATTCTATCCATGTTGAGACACAGTTTTTCACCATTCTTTTATTTAATCGTTCGAAAACGCTATAAGGAAGTAGGTTATATATTATAACGAGAAGTTATTGATACATGGTCTGTGATCGTATATCGACAATACCCGTGACGATCTCTGGCTATCGTCTGTCATGGCCTGTGATAGTTAGAGCTCGTCGGGTTCAAAATTTTTAGATGCGGATCTGAACCAACTCGACGGAACTGTAATGATAGTGTCTGACTGTTTTCTGTTGGGTGAATATTCAAATTTTGATCGGTATACTTCAACATTTCTTCTAGATCGTGTTTCACAAAAAAGAAGAAACAATTAGTTTATTCTATACAATAAATATTTTACTTTATTTTCATTATCAGTATTTTCTGATTCGCTGTTTGTTGAAGTAGTTTGTTTGACTTTTTCTGGTTGTAAAATTTCTGGTGTTAATGGAACAGTTTTTGCCTAATAAGAAATTGTTTTTTTGGTATGAATATGATTTATCCAAAAAAAAACACATACACGAAAACGTTCATTAACTCCTAATGCTTGATGAAATAAGCGTTCAGTATTAGATTTACGCCATTGAAATTTAATTCCTATTGGATCATTTGATATATTTGATAAAGTATCCCATAAACTTTAAAAACAAAATAAATATTAAAATATTATTTAAGAATAATTAAATACCTACGATAGACTAGATTCAAGACATAAGATTTGTTTTGTTGGATTTTTATAAGTAGTAAAAGAAGGTAATTCAGTAGATATTAAAGTATCATCATTTGTCGATGATGTTAAAGATTCTACAGGAAAACATGCTGAGATTAAAGATTCAATTTGTTCAGTACTTAAAGTATTCTATAAAGGATGAATTAATTTAAATTCAAATAGAACTATAGATAAGGCAACTTACAGTTGACAAAGTAGGTGTTTCAAGTTTTGGAGCGACTTGTACTTCACTAAATTCACCGAAATCGTCATCTTCTTCTGTTACTTTAGTAGATGATTCATCATTTATTGATTGCACTGGTGATTCAGAGACTGGTACTGTATTGGATTCAAAATCAGCCCAGTCATTTTCAATATTTTCTTCAATGTTGGTTGATGTTGCCGTAGGAAAAGTCTAAGATTAGTGATTAGTTTTAAAATATATTTAATGAAGTACATTCTAAAAGATCTCCTGTCAAAGTTTATTATTTAATATTTGAAAAAAAGAAAAGACATTCGATGCTAAAAAGCAAAATAACAACCTTATAAATAATATTGTTGTTCAATCACAGATGAAAGTCGGACTATGAACAGTGTATTTTATAGTAATTTAGCATAAAACAATTTAAGATTTCGTTCTAATCACATATTTCCTGTATAGATTCAACAACAAAAGAACGAATTATAAAAGCTGTCTACAAAAATCCTATAAGATTTCTCTAATGTCTCATTAATAAATACACATGATCTATGGTTTGCAGTAACTACTAATGAAGTCGGACATGAACGAAACCAACCGTTTTTGGTCCCAGAACGATCTTGCCCATATCTAAGTGAAACAGTTCAAAACAACAAAGAATTGCTTTTTTCTTTTGTAATAATTATAAGTTATGTTCTATCGACACATCGATTATTCAAATGACGTCGATAGCCTAAGTACTTTTAATAACATTATTCTTTGCACCATGTATCTAAAATATGAGGGATCATACGACAGAGATACGCTGTGGGACCAAGTTGATTTTTGGTCGCAGCCTAGAGAAAATTATTCTAGAATTTATTCGCTGCACATCTAACAAAAAGTCCTTCACTACTAGTGTTTTTAATTTACTTAATCGACGACCAGTACTATTTGACGTCGTCTCTCTTGAACTATCTTCTGATTGGCAAGATTTACAAGATAATTTGATTAAAACCAAAGAAAACTTAACTGTAATCTTTAGCTTCAGTTGGAACGGTTTTTCGCATAGTCCAGATTCTGTATATTTTTAATCATAGGTCTTTCTGTGTCATTCTTGTTAGATTAACATAAAACAGTAATTTTTGCTTATATTATATTGACATACTAACTAGGAAGTAATGAATCAATTATTTTATCAAATGAAATTTGAACTCTGAGATTTTCTCAATAAATTTAATACAACACTGAATATAAGAAAAAAAAAGTCTAATACATAATTCACCTCGGAAACTTCATCAGTTTTATTTTCAAATGTAGCAAAATTAGCCCAATCATCATCGTTTTTTTCTTCTTCAAAATTTTCTTCATTTGTTATATTATTATTTGGTAAAACATTTTCATTATTAACTATTGATTTATCATCTTCAATTTGAGCGAATTCAGTATCATTATTATTATCTATTGATTTCCAATCGTCATTACTATTATTCAATACATCCGAGGAAGCTGATGATAGTAATTCAGGATTTTGTATAGTTGGAATCAGATCATTTTCATCAACATCATCGTCAAATGGTGGCGGTGACGTATCATGAACAGGAGGTACAATAATAGGCTGGCTCATAACATTTCTATAGATAAAAGAACATAGGTTGATAAATAAAACAAATCAATACACACATAAAAAAACAAAGAAATAAAATAAAAAGGATATTTTTAATATTTTTTATTTGTTTAGTTTAACTGATATACAATGCGACAAGAACAACAAACAAAAAAAGACAAAAGAAAAACGTTAATTCTTCGTAATACTTCTAGAATAAAGATAAAATAATTAATTTTCATAAAGTAAAGTTTATTTGTTTAAATACCCAGGTGGAAGTTGAGAATCTTTAGATCGACTAGTACTTAAAACAATATATGGTTGTTGTAATTGAATTTGTTTTTGTTTTAATAAATTACATGTTTGTAATGGAGTATCAACACTTGACATTTTCTTCATCATCTAAACAAAATGAAAAAAGAAAGCTTTCTTGTTTTTGTCTTCTTTTTCTTTATTGAAATATTTACCTCTTCTTCAACTAGTTTTTTAGCTCGTTTTTCAGTCTTCTTTTTACCACTACCTTTACCATGGAAGCGATGTGAAAGACAACGAAATGCTTCTTTTTCATTCATACGTCGACCACCTTCATCAACATATTCAAGTTTAACATCAGGACGATAATGTTCTTTTTCTTTGAAATCAGTTAATGGTCCAGACATATAACGATCACGTCGAGCATGTTTATCTTCAATTTCACTAAAAAAAGAATAAACAAAGAACAATATGATTAAATTTAAGAATTGATAAAATCATGCATTTTCTTTTTTGAATTCAAGAATATAGTCTATTATTGATGATAGTTTTTTATCGGAACGTCGCATATAAAATACTGTGGTATTTAGATATGATTTTGTTAATTATTAGGATTGCACCGAACCCAAACATTCGAGTTCGATCATTTTCAGTCAAATATTATAAGAAAACAGGCGTAATCCAAAAGGATTTCAGGCTTGACTATAGAAGATCTACACATAGTAGAATAAATGATCCCAAAACCAAAGTTCTGCAGATATACTAAAAAAGTCAACGATGTTCAAAAATACTCAAATGTTAACTCTAGAGTGCTTCTATGATTGTCCATACACCTCAAGAAACGCTTGGGAAATTAACCTAATACCCCACAGTGTCTGAACTGGTCAGATTGTCTCCGAACCTGAACACTGAGTCAGATTTCGGATGAAGTGTATACTAATTAATGATTGAAGTATACCTAAAGTTGGGCTATTATTTAAGAAAGTAAGATTTTTTTTACAATAAAAATCAATGTAAAGTTTTCGAGGCTTTTGAAGATATATTCGAATTTAAGTTTAATGAAAGTGTGCTAATAAAACTACAGTAATATTTCATAGATGTACTTTTGTTTTTCATAATATCTATCGAGATAAAAAGGAAAAAGAAAATAATGAAGTATTTCTTGATACTTACTATGAACTTTTTTCTTCAATTGTATAATGTTTAGCTGAAATATCACTAACAAAACGAGCATTTTGACGAGTTTTTTCTTGTTCAATATATCCTATTCAAATAAAAGATAATAAGATATCAATATATTATATTACAACATCAAAAACAAACCTTTTTGCAAAGCAAGTTGAAGTGCACTACCAAGACCACGATCAAGTGTTGGTTCAGCAGCTAAAATTGATTCTTCAAGACGAAATGGTTTTGTATTAACATCTTCAGCTGTTGTATCATCCATAACATCATCATCAAGATCTTCATTTTGAAGTGCATGTTGTAATAATTCATCATCAGGATCTAATGCTACATTGGTTTTTGATGATGATTTTTTACTTGTTTGAACATTTGCACGTTTTATTTTAGCTGATGTCCGTAATTTTGGTACACTTGATGTTGTATCAATAGTATTTTCACCAACATTACGACAAAATTCTGACATTGTATCAAGTACAAGAGTTTTATCATCAGGAGGAGTAGTAGTTGGTGGAACAATAATACCAACTTCCATAGGTTCAGCTTTTATTTCAACTTTTAATTTTCGATCACGTTCTTCGATTAATTCAGTTAAAGCCTAAATTAAAAGAAAAATTCGTTATGTTTTCTGTTGGTTTTAAATAGAACTTAAAAGATATGTTAAAGTTTTAATAATGCGACGACAGAAGTATTCTCTTTTTTTTTAAATATTCTATCGTTATCAGAAATGATTTATGAAATATAAATTGTCGTAATTACTGAAATTGTTTTCTTACTGCGAGAAATTTCCAAGATATGCCTGAGTAATATTGAAACTAAAAATGTCAAAAGTCGAAACGTTGAAAAGTTCGAAGTTTATTTTCGGCATTATTCAGTACATTCAATTTTCAATATTAATCAGTGCTTTTTGTTTATTGGCATATGAATTAGAGAATTAATGGGAGTATTCCGTGCTATTTTGATATAAGATTTTGAGGACCTATTGTTCTTTCAGGACTTTTGAAAAACTTCTTCTTGCGATTGACATAATGTTTCACGTTAATCACGAATATCATGTTTAGATTTTGGAAAAAAAAACTGTTATGGTGAAAAGTGTGTTTTACTAGAAAACAAGTTACATGATAATCTTTCATCATACCTTTCTTTTTCTAACAATATAGTATCGAATGAAATTAATAATGAAACTTTTTATTAGATTTTTTAATACACTAAGACGAGCCAATGTCCAGAAGCCATGTATATTATTCAATGTTATCTTTCATGCTCTATTCAAATACGAAATCAAACTAATAAAAAAAATGTACATCAGGTTTCTAGAGGCTCTCCGAAAAACCAAATGCATAATTCTCAAAGTTTCAAACTTTTCAACAATACCATCGTGTTGAGCATATATTAATACCTATTTTCACGGAATTTTTGTAGTTTTTGCTTGGTCCTGGAATGTGAGAGTCTATTCAATCACTGGCGAAGATGAAACTTCTATATATCCTGGCAGAAACATATCGAAACTCCAAAAACTACAAGAGATATGTTCTAAGATGTGCACAACACGATGGCATTGTTGACAAGTTCGAGACTTTGAACATTATCTACTTGCTTTTTCAGAGGGCCTCTGAAAATTAGCATCGAACTGTACATATGGCTTCTTCACACCTGATTGCCTCATAGGTTTAAAAAATACCATAGAAAAGTATGTCATACCTTTTCAGCTGAAATACTGTCTTTCTTTGTTTTGAGCTTCATTGTTTTATTAATGACAGTTTGAAGTTCATCGAATGCATCATCTTCAATAACAAAATTGGAAAGATCATCAGAACCCACCATGTCCTCTAAATAAAGACAAATTTTTTACTAAAAATATTATAATCATATATTTAAAGCCATAATGAGAAGTCTATATTTTCCTTATCAATTGTATCGAACATGTTAAAACAGCGAACACAAAACCACTGTCGGGCACCACTAGAATTCATATTCTAGCAACGCAGAGATCTCTGTGCAACTAAGAAAAGTCCAACAGGACTTGTACTTAAAATCTATTGGTGAAGAATTATGATCATTATAGTAAAATTTTTATTGAGAACGATACATTTTCGAAAAATCGAAAGCAAAATGTTTTAATTTGAAAATTTATCTATAGAAAAAATTAATAGTCATTAGATAGTCCTGAAAGTTTCAACGAAAATGAACAAATATTTGTTGAGATATTCAATTCTCCAACTAGACTAGCTTATTGTGAACTACTAATATAAACGACTGTTTTCAGAAATTAAATATTTCGAGAAAGATATGCTTGTATTCCTTGAAATTTTCAGATCGAAGTGTTTTTCTGTGGTTTCTTCGGAAATGATTTCTTTTCTCAATGTCAAAGAGACCTATCCGTACCTATAATATTATGTTAAATGACATCCGACCTTTAAGCATGTTTCCTGATGAGAATGATTCTTTTGGTAAAGCTTTCTATTTCGATCACAATTAAGAAATTTTTGAATACAGAAACTTACCATCTTCTGTAGCAGTTGTTGTTATAATTTCTCGTTTGACTTTATCAAGAGAAACACGAGTCGGACGTTCTCTGAAAAGAAAAACAATTGTTTAACAATCCAAATAAGAAAATCTTAATACATACTTTGATGTTGATACAATGGCATTAGATCGACGTGTTTCAGCCGGACGTAACGATACTGATGTTGTCGTTGTTGATGATTGTCGTGATTCACTACTATCCATTGCTAGTAGGTCGTCAGCCTTTAGCATTTTCCGTGATCGAATTTTTTTCTTAGTTACCTTTTTTGGTTTTTTGAATTGGTCCTATGAGAATAAAAAAATATATATCCGAACAAGTTCTTTTCTGTTAACAAAAAAAAATTTTAATTCTATTTACCATTTCACCAGGTGTATAAAATTCACTGGCTACTTTTGGTGTTGGTACCAATAGACTTTGCATTCGTGCTCGAATTTCTTGTTTCATTTCATATATGACCTTCTCATCAGACATGTCATAAGCCCCATCAGATTCTACAAGAAAAGAAAAAAATTGTTTTTTTTTATTTATTTCTACAAAAATTATTTATTTATCTATTTACCAAGTCGGAAAGACGATTTCTTTTTGTCATCATATTGTTCTAGTAATTTATTTGGATTTAACTATAGAAAAAAAGCAAAATATTTTCATTATGAATAAATTAATTTCCAAAAATAACACAAACCATTCCAAATTGATCTGCTGTTTCCTCGTCATTATATGCTCGATAACCAGGCGTTTTCTTTTTCGCCAATTCAGCACGTTCTTTTGCTGTTTCATTATCAGCAATATTAACATTGATCAAAACATCTTCATCATCATCTTCATCTTCATCTTCATCATCTTTTTTATTACTTATAATTTCTATGAAACAAAAAATAGAATTATTTCAAAGAAAATGATTAACATTACTTTTATCTTTTAATGTTAAAATAACTTGTTGTCCTTCTTTAAATTCTTCAATTGAATGTTCAACACGAAGACCAGCCAAATTTTTTGCTGTATATCTCTGAAACACACAAGGATTATGAAATTTAATTCAAATATTTGATGGATGTAGCAGAATCGTAATTGATCCCATCCAGCCGAACTTCATCGGTTGGAAAATATTTTATAGATGTCTTTTTTTTTCTATCATAAAACTTGTTGAGAGTAAGTTTGTTTGCTCTTATAAAAATAATAAACAGCTTTATTTCTTTAATCGAAATATGTTTCATTTTTTAAAAAGTACAAACAAAACTGTGTTATTTGAGATCAACTTTTTTGGTAAAGATCAAATTTGAATTTGTCTACAAAGCTGACCAGAAGAAAGTTTTCAATCGATTAATCACTTCTGAATTCGAACTCAATGGATAAATTCCATTAGTTCTTCTGTCCAGAGTTACAGGCATTTTACTAGAATTTTAGCCTCTGGCATGGTAGGGTGTGGGTGATGCCACACTTGTCTCTGACATCCACACCCACCCTACACCCTGCCAAGATATTGAAGTCTCAAAAACCACTCATATTCCATGAAAGATGCTAGAATATTCTGTTTTTTGGGAGTTTAATATGTTGGAAAGAAAATCCTCTTTTGAACTAAAATTTTCAGAACATTCTCCTAAGAAATATATCTGTGTGTGGGCAAAATCTCATCATTCAATATCTTGGCATATATCATACCCGAGGTTAAAATTCCCGTCCAATGCCTATAACTCTGAACATAACGCTTGAGAAGACTCATAATTTTGAGATTTTTCATATCTCGCTGGAGTCTACCTTATGTGAAGAGTCCAAATTTGAAAGCAAATTGTCAATTGATGGATAAATGACTCCTTTTTTTCGTACTATATAAAAATATCACATACTGATCTTTGACAAACTTAACAGATATAAACGACTTTAACAAGATGTTTCTTCTGGAAAATTTGTAAAATCCTAAGTGCAAAAATATTTATTAATACCGTTTGTTTTTGTTTTTCCGATTCTTCATGTATTAAATTATTAACACCAAATTCTTCATCCATTTGTTCAAGTAATTTAGCCTTCAAGAAAACAAAAACAAATAAATGAATTTTATTATTAGAATTTAATTTTAATATTAATACATACACGTTCGGCTGCTTTACGTTTTTCTTCTTCCATTTGACGCATTTTTTCAATCCATGATGAGGTTGATTCAGCTGGTTCAGATGCTAATGTTGGTGTTGTACTATGAAAAAGAAACAAAAAACTAAAATCCTCAATTACGTAACAAAATTTCGAAATACATACAGAAATTTTTCTTGTAACATTCGCTTTTCTTTATGTACACTAAGTTTTTCCGTAATTTTTTCTGTTCGAGTTTTTTCTGTTAAATTTATTGCTGGTCGATGAACAAAATTTTCATCACTATTTAAACTTTTTTTTGTAGTATCTGAATCTGCTGTTGTATTATCATCGATTGTTAATGGTTTAAGACCAAGTGAAGCACGTACTTTATTTGTTTCATCTATTGATAATGACATACGTTCAGTACCTTCACGTGTACTATTTGATGGATCATTTGTATTTGATTTTGTTGGTGTTGGTGATCGAGATTTATCGTCATTAGATGGTGAACGACGTTCACGTTCTCGAATTTTTTCAACACGATCATGATCACTTCGATGTTTGTCTAAATAAAAATCATGAAATAAATACATTTAAATTCAATTCATTTTAAGATACATACGTTGTTTTGAACTTTTCTCCTTTTTCATATTTGAAACCATGATATTTGGTAATAATTCGTAATGAAATGCAATTAAATTTTTCTATTGTATATGAAGTAAAATAGATGAAAAGTATTTCGTCAGTGCAAAAGCCATAACACGATAAGAAGAAAAAATTGCCTCTACATTAATGGTGCTAATAATTAACTGAAGTTAACGTTTACTAGTGACATCTATTGTGAGTCTCGGCGTTAATTTATATATATACAAAACTGTGCATTAAGCAATTTTACGATTAACAGAAAGGCTTTGCTTTTGTCTTCTCTAACGAGAGAACATATCCAAGTATAAATCACTTTTGAATTAGGACTATGTGCATTATATAGATCCTAATGAAGTTTGGATATTCTGAAAAAAGTTCGATCTATTGATTTATTGTTGCTGAGCTATTGCATTTTTACGGTATTTTTGAATACAATGCCGTGATCCTCTCATGAGTACAAAGAAAACTGAGTTTCGAATTTCGACTTGAAACTTGGCACAGAGACAAGCCTTAACGACAACAGTTTATTGAGAAAGTTTCAGATCTTTTTGATTGCTTCTATTCTGAAATAAGAATATAATGATCCATCAGTATATATGAGCGAAGTTAAAAACGTGCTTTTACCGTAGTCTTATCTCAGGATAGGAAGAACAAAATGATCTGAAACTTCAATAATAAACTATTCTCGATAAGATCAACTCCTGTGGGAAGTTTCACATCGAAATTCGAAAGTCAATTTTTGTGGTGTTCCTGATGGGACCACGACATAGTACTCAAAAATACCGGAAAAGTACGATATCTTGGCAGCAATAAACCAATAGACCGAATTTGATTTTCCAGAATATTCATAGCTCATTAAGATGTGCATGATGCATATAGTTCTGATTCAAAAGCGATTTGACACTTGGATATGTTCCATCGTAAGAACATATGAGCAGAGACATTAATCTTTATTTGTTTCTGTATACAGAGAAGATTTGTTCAAGATAGATTAGGATTCTCTCACAAGTTTATTGCAAATAGATACTGACTTTTTTGTAAATGAGCGGAAATCACATAGTTCTCTGAATTGCTTTAGTATGCTTTTCTATATATGCATTATAAGTCAGCTGACATGTTTTTATATTATTCTAGGAATCATCATGTTTTTACAAGATCATTATTTTGATGTTTTCGGACGAATTTATTTCTGAACCTTTAAATTAAGTAAAGACAGAAGTTTTTTTAAACTCTTTCCTATTTCAAGACGTATTATTCAAGAATGTTAGTTTCGAAAAATGCAAATATATTTGAAGCGACCAACTCTTTCATATAAATAATGAAGTTTTAATGAACTGTAGTGACAATTTTTTTTCTACGATGACCGCTGTCAAGATTCTATTTTCATGAAGACTTGGAAAAGGGTCATTTGAATGCTGTACCACAAGCCAATGCTTTTCTGACACTTGTTTCCTAGTGACATCGAGGAGTATGATAGTGGAGATGAGGACAACGTCTAAATCTGATCTCAATATATATTTCAGTGGTTTTTGGTTGCTCGAATGAAATTATCACTGTTAAAATGTACAATAGAAAGTTAGTCATTTGCCAGTTTCGACAATTTTTTATAGTGTTTTTGTTTCTTAACTGGTTCAATTTGATTTTTATGTTTATTTCAACCTTAAGTTATTTTGATTGTCTAGTAGTACTATATGCACGGTTGGTTTCTTACATGTTATTAAAGAAAAAATGAGTTTAATGGGCATCAAATAAAAATGAAGACAATTTTATTAGCACTATTAAAACCTAAAAAAATTGAATGTCATAAGATTGCAAAAACAAAATTTTATTTATTAAGACAAAAAGGATTGTATAGCAATGACGAGAGATTGGTAAACGACTTTACTCTTGTACTAAGTATAGACGTGATTAGATTCTCTATCATATGAAAGAAAATTTAATCGATATGCTACTTTGAACAAACTATTTCATATATAGGACTTTTGGAATAAAGTACTAATATTGTAATTTGTTTGTATATCACTACAGTTGAATAGTTTATGTATAAACATATACACGAATAGTGCATTTATGGGTTATTGCATATGAAGGGTACGACCTATCGTCACAGAGCAGTGTGCAATAACAGTTTTATGTTAACGTAAACTTTATTTTAACTTATGGAGGGTGCCATTTTAGGTGATAAGTTAAATTTTTAGCCATTTTCGATATGTATCAGCCAATATGATTAGCATTTGACAAAGAAATTTCTATTGAGAGACTGTTTGGAAACAACACGATCTACTTTTCTGCTGTTTTGAACTCTCTTCATTTTCGTGTATTTAGTTTTTAATGTCGGTATATTAGAAAATAAAATCAGGTCAGGCTGTCTTCCATTATCCTCAGCGTTCATATAATTTCAAAACTTCTCGCAGAACATATGTAATGAGTTATAATAGGAAAGTCATGAATGGTTCTGCTCCCACACCTCCAGATAGACTTAAGGGACAAAGGTATGCATAACCCACACCAGAGATCCAAACAGGCCCGCTTTTTGAAGGCCTGGCCTGCCTGTGACAGGCTTACATTACATCCCTCCTAGTCTGCCTGTGCCTGTTCTCTGATTTCCTCGGCCTGGCCTGCCTGCCTGTCATTTTCTCAGGTCTGCCTATCTAGGCCTGTGTATTTTTTTTCACGTCAATATCATGATAAAAGTACCATAGAAGGAAGTAATAATCTTCATAAAAATTCGTACTAGTCACTGAATTCAATCTACATCACTACATTGAAAGGTCTCTAATTGAAAAGTCCATGAGAATTGTCAGCTTTCCAATTAAATAAAGATATCATGCTTCTTTATAATTGAGAGCATGTGAAACTAAGGATAGAACAAAGACTGTTCATTTCTAAAGGTACTTCTAGTTAGCTGGAGTATAAGAAAACATAGTTTTTAGTTCACTTACAGAATGTTTTCTCGAAAGAACGATCGATTTCTAGTCAAAATCGCTCGGCGAAAATTGGCATTGTTCTGAATAAGCAAGTAACTTCATTAAAGAGACAGCTACAATGCCTACCTGTAAAAACTGCGGACACACTTTCATGTAAAAAGTAATTCATGTAAAAGTTAGAAAAGATCCATTTTAAATGAATAAAATCATTATTCCTTTATTGATTGTCAATTGGTAGCGAATCAATTACAATAAAAACAAATCAAA